CTGAAGACAAATGTGTGCCTGCAGGGCAAGATACTCTGAATTATCAAATAAGAAATGAAGACGAATTCAAAATCATTGAATACCATTCATCTCACCTGGTGAATAACAGAGCCTTATACAGTATGTGTACGATGTGTGCTGAGGACTCATATACCACTGGCAATATTATTTCATGAGGCATTTATGTGTCCAGTCAAACAGAAAGTCTTGATGTTACGCTGCCTGGGGGCTGCTGCAGGTGACTGCTTTTGAGGTTTTCCCGCTGCATCAAAAGTAACAGTTTGATGTTAAAAGTCCAGTTTCTGAAGCAGTGCAAACCGTAGACATGCGTCAGGTAACACCTGGAATCAGTTTCTACATGTTGTTTCATATGGGCTTCATAATTGAACCCCATCAGCACTGAAAGTTAGCAATCCGCCCAGAGTATGTTGCATAATGTTCCTTCAACACGTTCTCTGATATTCATTATCTCCTTGTATCTCTCTCTATCTCACACATTTACATGTGCTCTACTAGTTGCATTGAGTCTAGAGCTTGTCCTTATGAATATTTACCAACAGCAAGTTACCAAGAGCAATCAGCTGAGATTTGTTAACTCCTATTCTCTTTCCTGTGTATACATATGTACGTTTCTGAGTTTCAGACTGTGTGCGTGTACATTGATTCTCCTGCAGGCAGGGTCAGGAATCTGGATCAAGCCCCAGATGTCAACATCTCTCCCACGTACCCACTGTAGATCCATATGCAACGTGTTTCAGCATTCTCATATCATTATTGATTTTTATGGGTTCATTACAAGGAAAATTAAGTTTAATCACCATTCCTTATGTCCATATTAAATGAAAAGGTCAAGCTCTTTTCCCTGCCTTATTAGGTAGCTGAGTGTACCTTAAATACTCGTATCTGTGTTGCACTGGTTTAGCTGTAAGCACAGTGTGTGTTGTGTTCTACACCTTCTTCAAACAGACAAGGTTGCACTTACATTGCACCATTCTTTCTGAGTGGCATTAACAAGGAATTTTCTTTCATCCAACACTTTTCAACATTTCACATTATTGTCCCAACAATGCAGTGGCATTCATCTGTGGAAAGCAGTGAGGAGCGACAGCGCTGAGTTGGTTGTCAGGCTGACAGCGGAGGACAATCAATTTTGGTAAGCAGTGTTGATTGAATGGCATTTAATTGGGGGGAAAATGGATGTTTTAGGAAGTCTACTGAAGGCTTAGCTTTGTGAATGCACTGTGTACATACAGCCTACCCCTACACTTTCATATAATTTCTTAAAGAAAAGCATTGTGGTACTGAACGTGTTTAGTTTAGGAGGGAAGCGCCTCCAAATTCAGATACCCAGCTCTTGTTTCAAAGTTGTTTTAATGCGTTTTGCTTTTGTGACCCTACTGGTCATTACAGACGCTGCTCCTGAGACTCCAGTGGTGTCGTGTGTCTCACCGTCAAACACCAACAGCTTTTTATGATGACAATCTGGCATTCACTTTAGTTGCTAGCCTTAGCAGGAAACAGATTAGTGAACACTGTCTGGTGAGCCTCTGTTTAAAAAGTTATTGCATTTTTTTTGTTTGCTGCACAGATTAAATAAAAGTATATGTTTTCTTATTAATGCTGTTCCACTTGTCAAGCACATAGATGATGTAATTTTGTTCAGAGCAAAGTGCGATGCTGCATAGGTTTATGTTGTCGGGGTGATAGAGAAGGCACTGCTGAGAGTCTGCATGCAAAGGAATATTAAAAGGAGTTCAACACTGAGATGCTTGCCCATTCTGTTTGGTGTGAGTCTCTCACTGCGACTGATTATAACAGAGGCCGACATCAAACTCCTCATCCATCCCCGCGCCAGCTCTCAGATAAAGATGAGGGGAGACGTGTTTAAAAATAAATGGGTAAATATTATTTTGTCGTCAGATTCACCATTTGAAAAGCCTGTTCAACCTGTCACCACCAACTGGAACTCAGGCCTAGTTCTGATTATACCCAAGGTCCCGCTCTTGAAATCAAGGTTTGAAATGCAGTACTGTTTGACTTTGGTAATGTGGTATTGTCATTGCATCAGCAAACTGAGGCTCTGTTGATATTTTTCCTCAAGCAGTTGCAGATAGTTGGCAGTAGTTACATTGAATCTTTCAGACTTTTCCGGACGTCTGCCTGTATATGTGAAATCCTGGACATGAAACTAATGATATCCACTGGAGCAGAATATTCCCCTTGTTTGAACATTCCTTTCACTTTGATAAAGTACTCTAAAGATTATATGTGTTTACTTTACTAAAGCAAATATTGAATTGAGTCGTTCCCAGATTAAATTGTATCAGATAATGCATGGCACAGCTCAAACCTTTCTAACAGCTGCTTTCCAGAGCTCCTTCTTCCACAGCTGAGAAAGGATCATGTGTTATTTCTAACAAATATTCCAAAGACATATTTGCATGATCACAGAACAACTTTTGTGTGGCCCTCCTCCGTAACTGTGAATATGGTGGAGTTTTTATTATTTTGTTGGATACACGCTGTGGTCAGAGTTTAGCTTTGACCCCATGCTGATCTGACTTTTACAATGTCAAGTCGACTGCTGAAGGCTGATGATCATGCTGATCAATAAGGAATGGTTCTAAAACAATATATCATCATCATATTGACACCAAACAAAATGAATTTTGTTAGGCAAAACGGTGATGCATGCACAGTACACAGTAATACTGTGTGTAGGACTACTGTTGCTATACAATGAGAATGCCTACAGATCAGTGATGTAAAAAATCAAAACCCAGGTAAATAAAACTTAAGTGCTGTTTACACAACGGTGGCTTCTTACGCATTCCTGTTAGGGTCTATGTAACTAGCAATGCATTGACTAAAACGTGCACAGGCAAGTGATGTTTCCTTATAAAATTACACTGCCAACTACCGGCCTGGCAGGCACACTACATTGTTTTTCTGGAGCCGTGTAAGCGGAAAACGTCTCCGTTTTCATCGGACCATTGCTGTGTAAATGTAGCCTCAGAGGGTAGTAGTAATTACCACACCGTTTCCAACACCATCATTATGCATATGCCTAATCAATGGTCATTGCGCTTAATGGGAGCTGCGACATTGATGATGAATAGTTCCAATGAGCAGCTCTCTCTGTGTGTGTGTGTGTGTATGAGCGGTTAGTGTTAATATCTCTAATGAATAGATGTGGCACACATAGCCTGTGAACACCTGCTGTTGCCATTAGTCCCAAAGAGGAGACTAATCACCTTGGTTTTCAAATCTAAGCAGGTTATTCAGTGTCCCTCAAACTCAAGGACCCTTCATTACCCAGAGCACATGAGCGTCCAGTGATAATACCAGCTTGTTCAGATATATGCTTCTTCTAGAGGCAAAAAAAAACCTACTGCAGAAAAGCCTCTTCTATTGACTTAATGCAGCCTTCTCTCCCAGAGAGCGCTGGACGCCCAGCTGAGTGACTTTAACTTAGTGGCACATTCTCCACAGACCGAAACACTAAACAAGAGCAAGTATGAATTGGCAGCCAGCACATATCTTGGCACATTCACACTCACTACCACCTGTTGCCTCCCACTTTGTCTATACCTTTCTCTGCTCCCTGTACCCTGCCTTTGCCAAGCCCACTGATTAAAGTGTACTTGCTAGAATTTAAACAATCAGTGCTCCCAGTTTCTACCTGTTCCCATGGCTACTGCTAAGACAGAGACCTGGACTCTGGGAGATGTAGTTTTTCTTAACTGGTCTTACTGCTCAGATTATTTCTAGCTCCAGTGCCATCTCTCATCTCAATCTAAATTACAACATGTCACTTCCATGTTTTGGTGGCAGTCAGGGATTTTGTGAGATCAGGTCGGGTGCACAATGACTGAGAGACACACAGGAAGAGAGAGCGATGACAGCTACAAGAGACAAAACAGGAAGGCTACAGGTTGAACGATTGAGCATCAGGGGTTATCATTGCCATGAATGTGCTGCAAGCTGCTGATATACAGGATCTGAAGGACAGCCGCGGCCTTCCACCCACTTTGTCGCCATGGGAGACGGTGGAGAAGAGGTCTCATCTCCTTTTCTTCCTCATCCTCCTTATCTATTTCTCTTTCTTGTTCTCCCTCTATCTTCTGTCTGTCCCTCCATTTCTCTTCTAAACCACTGAGCTCCTATTATCTTTCTGAATCAGCCCACTGAAGAACAGTTAAAACCGACCTCCTGGAAGGTGAACAATGATGAAAATGAAATAATTACACCAGAGGGCACTGCCAGTATTTCTGCGTCTGTCTGCTGCGTGCATGTGTGCGCATGACCCCATTCAATTTATTGGTCAGTCCAGCTGTACTTCACTTGTTGATAATGTGACTGAACTGTGGGTTATCAAAGGGCTGCAGGCCTCAGTGAACTGGCAGTAGCTATGGAGAAAAGGAAATGAAAGAAACCTCATGGAGGAACTGGAGCCTGCCTCCAAGAACCACCACATCAACCTACACACATAAGCATGTGCATATACGCAAGCACTCAGTATCTGTGTATCTCTATAGTCCCTCTTATTACACACCACCCTCTTGTTATCTCAGAAGGCAGAAGCAACAGTTAGCGATCACGTGACCGCAGGAGTCTCTGCTTGTTTCTGTATTAGCCTGTTAGCTCAGGCTGAAAGTAAATATTAAATTGAATATATAGAGGCAAGTGGAATGAGAGCAGTCTGAGGAACACTTTTTGGTCAGCTGTATTTTAATATTTAAACAGAATACACTGAGAGGGAGTCTGAAGAACTGCTGGAGGGAGAGAGGGAGGCTGTTGCCATGGCAACCGGAGCC